TTTAGGTAACACTACTAGCCATATACAGTTTGTGTAATATATTTATATTCCTAAATTAATATAGTTTTTGATGTTCAGAGACATTATGCTCATGTTGTTTTTATGCTCAGCTACCAAAGGTTTTCTTTAGTTGTAAAATTCCATATTAATATTCCATATTAAGCACATTTAAACATGCACAGTAGAGAGATTAAATAAAGCAATCGTTTCACTAACAACTAATGCACCATTAGTGCCACCTGTCAATCACCTTTGACCAGCGAATCACGTGCTTTGGCAACCTGCTGCCCCACTCCCACATCACAGGGTTTTACCTGCATTCTGAATGGCTACATCTGTATATTCATTGTTCCAATTAAGTTGTGCAACTTTTATCCAACCAGTCCATTGTTATAGTATCTTTACAAACCATGCATATTTTTTTTGCTAAATGAATTTACTAAACCTCTTTTTTACTTTATAACACTATAAACATCTCACATTGCCTTCAAGTGTTCATGACAGCAGGAGACTAGCAGCTCTGGAGTGATACCAGTGCCTATTGGTATCAGCATCATCTCCTGTATTGTTGTGATACAAACACAGTTAACCTGGGTAATCCTGTAAGGAATTTGGTTAAGATTCTGAAGTCAAAATGTTATTGTTTTTTTTCCCTCATTCTATGTTCCCCATATCTTTATTGCTTTATACATTTCCAGACTGGAAATCCAGTAGCATGGAGAAGAGTGTGTTTCTCATCCTGCTGTTCTCAGGTCAGTGTTTTCTGCTGCATATCTTGATTTCCATTATCTGTTTATTAACTTTAAATAATACTTTCAAAATAATGATTATTTATTTGAATACATAATAAGTATATTATTAAATTATATAAATACAGAATACATTATTTAAAATTAATTCTTAATTACTTAAAAATATCTTTCCCTTTATACAATATAGATAATATTGTTAGATAATTAAGAGATACAAACAACAGCCAACATGAAGGTTAAAAGCAGGAAGATTAGAATTACTTGGCAATGAAAAAGCACTAATACCATTAATGGACAACCATCTGCAGCTGGAAAAGAT